CTAAACAAATATATTGTGTGCCTCGCTCTGGGATGGGTACAGGAGATAGGTTTGTAAAAAAATACTCCTGGTCCTAAGGAGTTCGCTGTCTGCAGAGGGAGAAGGGCACACACAGATAACTGTCACAGTGTTTGTAATACTGTATTAAGAGTGACTGACAGGCAGTAAAGCCCTGTGCTTTATGGGCTGAGGTCAGTCTGGGTTTGAAGCTCAGCTCCGTGATATCCTGTGGTCCTGGCCCAAGTTACTTAACCTTCCAAAACCCTAAGTCTCTGCATTTATAAAGTGAGAGTAAAACAGAACGTGCTTCAGAGAGCTTCTAGAGGATTAAATGAGATAACCCATGAAAAGCACTAACCCCAGGGCCTAACAAAACACAAGTGCTAAGTAACTGGTGGCTATTTTTAACATTTTTCTAAGTGACCCTTACAGCATGAGTGCAGTGGCAGATATGAATGGACCACAGAAGAATGGCAGCTACACCACTTCCTTAACTACCTTTTGTTCAAAGAGAAGTGAGTCAACCTTTCCAACCTGGGCTTGCAAAAAATACTGCAGTAAAACCTCTGGTCCTTTCAAATCACAATGCGATTGTATTTTAGTTCTGGGGAAACTTTTAGGAAGATGTATTCGTCTTAATAGTCACAATCAGTTGCACAACAAGGGAAAAGAAACAGGGAACGTATGACATGAGAAAGACGTTGCTTTATCGGTATGCGGCTCCCTCCACTGACGACTTTGTCTGTCCAGTGTACACTCTGTAAAGGTATTGGACACGTGAAATAAATTTGAAGTTAGGAGTCAAAAGTGGCCCAAAGTCTGAGCAGTCTTGAAACAACTTTCCGTTTGAGTTACGGAGATCGTTTAATCCCCTGGATGAAGTCACCGAGAAGCGAGTTGATGAAATGGATACAAAAGAGGCAACGTAGTGGAGTGGTTAAGAGTTCAGGTTGTGGAGTCAGACCACCACTAACTTCCTGCTTGTGACTTGGGAGACCTTACCTCATTCTCTAAACCTCAGTTTCCTCACCTGTAACTATGAGGTGATAATTTGTAGGTGTTTCACAGAAGAGCTAAGAGAGTTTAAAAAATAAAATGCATGTATGACTACAAAACACTTTCGAGAAGGGTATTTAAGCCTAGCACAGAGGAATCTGAACAAATACTTGCTGTTTTTATTATAAAGAAAGCCTGGTGCCTCTTATGACAAGGAAGAGACAAAGAGTAGACATTTTCATGAGTTTTGTTCTCCAGTAAGGAAAGAAGCAAGAAAGGGTGCTGAGTGTTAAACCTTCTCGATCCCCGTAAGAATTGGAGCCAACAGTGGCTTTCACAGAACCCAAGACTGGTGAGGGGCAGAAGTTTCAGTGCACGGCTGGTGGCCACCCACATCTGCTGCACGGCCATCCTCAGGCCTGGCTAAGCCCGGGAGTGGCCTTTGGCCCAGAGCTGGCTTTATGGACCTGTGACCATCACCTGCACAGGCGTCACGCTCACAAGGAACCCATTTTGGCTTAATTCTCAACGATTGCCATGTGGGAGTTCTTACTAATTTTATCCTTGAAGGTGTAGTTGTAAACGGAGTCCAGTGGAACAATGGCGCACGCATCTGAACAGAGGAAATACTCAGGAGAAGGAGGCTGCTTTCTCTTCTAGGATCTTCAACGGCACATTTTCTCTTGATTTTGAGCAAGGAGAATTGCACTTTTACTTTGCCCTGGGCCCTGAAGTCAAGGTTAAACTGCAGTGCTCCCCTGCCTGCCCCACGGGGGCCCAGTCACGTTCTGAAGTTTGACAGATAAACTGGAATTCAGTAGTAACCTAACACGAGGAGGGGAGCCAAAGTTCATGGTAGGGAGCCAAAAGCACAGCTGTGCACAGACCAGGGAGAGAAAGCAACGTGGCGTGCAGTTGCAGGGCGTTGTCAGGGCAACCTCCAGTGGTTTGGACCACAACATCCTTGGGGAGCAGCGAGGGTTTGGGCAAACTGGGTTAGCCCCTGATGAGCAAGCCTGAAAAGCCCTGCAAACCGGCCACACAGGCAGTTCCACGGGACTCACGTCCTCTCCGCAGCACTGTGTCAGAGCTTCTCCTTCAAGGACTCTTGGCTTCCAGCAGAGCTTTTCCTCATCCCCGTGCCCAAGCATCACAAATACACAAAGAGATTAATAGCACAGTTAATTATAAGCAAGTTAATGGTCACTTTTTTGCCAATGTTGTTGATCACTAATGATGCTTATTACTGATAATTATAATGATAACAGCAACAAGAACTAAAAAGTGGGAATTAAGAGATTTGAGTTCTTGTCCAATTTGGTCATAATTCACTAGACTAAAACAGGGAAGATCTTAAATTTCTCCTATTTTTTCATCTGTGAAATCATGAGCATAATAATTTTTATTATTTACTATGTGTAGTGGGTTTGCCAATATCCACCTTGCATTCCTTGCATACCATCAGACACTATCAGTGGCCTGATAAATATGTGTTGGCTGTGGGAGGCTGAGGCAGGAAGATTGCAATGTCATGTCAAACCCAGACTAGGGTAATTTAGCAAATTAGCAAGACCCTGTCTCAAAAATAAAAAAGGCTGGGGATGTAGCTCAGGGTGAAGGCCCTGAGTTCCATCCTTGGTACAAATGAATGTGTGTGTGTGTGTGTGTGTGTGTGTGTGTGTGCTGTTGGATAGATGTTGGATAGATGACACAAATCTAAATAATTATCACCATTACTAGAACACATGTCCTTAGACTGGGAAAGGAAGGCAGCCAGGCTGTGCTGGGTTTTCTTCATGTTCCGAACCTGCAGCTATTCTTTGTAATGAATTTATTTTATAGCTGTATTGAGATACAGTGATGTTAATCAACCTCCCCCAAGTCCCACAGTTTGTATGTGGCTAAGCCTGGATTTCAGCTATAGATTTCTGTTCCAAAACCAGTCATGTCACCCTTGCTAGAGTAAAGAGTCCCCCATCTTAAGGGGATGCTGCAGGTACCTCTTCCCACAGTCAGGAGTTTCTGCCTATACATGGAACATTTTGCTGCTGTGTTTGAAACCTGTCTGCTCCGTGTCCACTCCCTGTTGCCATGGTTACTGTTGGAGTTTTTCTTGGAGGTTTCCATGCACTTAGATCCCCGTAGGTCTGGGTCCCCGTCTCCTTGTTCTGGAACTTTCTTGCCAACTCTATCTAGATTCTCTGTCTTTTAGTTTAGTTAATGGAATTCACTTGACGAAGTGCAACTAGAAGTCAGGTTTCTGTAATTTACAAAAGAAAAAAATACAAGCAGCCAACAAGCACTGGGTAAAAATGTCAAGCCTACTGGTAATCAGGGAAAACTCACAAAAGCAGCAATGACAAAATAGGCCAGAATAGGTGAATAATGATACCTAGCATGGGCAAGAAAGGAAACTTTGGGTTTATACTTTCAGTCTCAAAGGGTAGGGAACAGTCACCGCCTTTGAGGAGAGTATTTGGGGAACGAGTATCTCAAGCACAGAGGTGTTCGTTGATGAGCACAGTTCCCACACTTGTGTAAGAGCTCTAAATGTTTGCTGATGAATGCAGGGTCTTCCATCTGGGGCTCTTTCCCCAGGAAATGTCAGGGAGGAAATAAAATATTAATGTCCAGTGCAATTTCATAATACACCATGGTTAAATAAATGATAACAAACCCATAAGATGTAACATGACAGAGCATTAAACTGATTGTAACAAATATTTTACAATATGGAAATTGGTCACATAAGGCAAAATGAAAAAAGTGCAAGTGTATCTTTTCTGTATTTGGTTCTGTAGAAGAGCATGTATTCAGCATCATTTGTTTATTCAGCAAATATCATGTTCTGTCATCTCTGTTTCAAAGCAGCGTTCTCCATTCTGGGTATGAAATGTAAACAAAATGCATAGTCCCTAACTCAGAGATCACAGAATGTTAGAGAATCCTACGATTAAAAAAATCAGACAAATAACTCAACTATTAAAATCCAGTGACTCCGAGGATGCAAAATGAGACAGTATGCTAAAGAGAGGTTGGTACTGGAACCCAGTTTAGATCAAGAGATCATCGAGGGATGCTCTCCAGAGGTGATGTGCAAGCTGAGCCCTAAGGAGGCAGCCTAGAGAAGGGTCAGGTGGCAGAAACACTGCCGACTGAGGGAACCTCGCTTGCCACAGGCTTAGGTGGAGAATCAGGAGGCCCACGGAACAGGAACGGATGAGGGGGAGCCAACTTAAAGGGCCAGGCTTCGCCCTGAGCACCATGCACAGGCGCCATGGGCTTAGGATGGCGCTCAGGGCACCCAGTTAACACTTCCCAAAATTCACTCTGACTGCAGGTGCAGAGTGCATACAGCTGAAGCCTCTGCCATAATGGTGACCGGTAAACAACAGGCCACACCCAAGGGGCACCCAGGGCTCGTGGGAGCCACGCCCTGCCGCTACCCTGACACCGGGTAAACCAGATGCCCCTGGGCAGGTCTAAGACTCGGGGAACGGTGCATTCTCGTCCTTCCACCTTTCGGTCCCTCTTTGACTTTAGCCGGTGGTGCTCCACGCATTCCTCTGTCCCACTGATCTCTGGGTGCTGTGGAAACTGGGCCCCAGTTCCCCACCTCTACTGCTAAAGGCTCATTGTAAAGTCAAGTGTTGGCTCAAATCAAATGAAGCCACTGCTCAAACTCTAGAACTGCAGTTTTTAAGAACTAGAGACTCAAAGGAAGAGATGAAGTGGTAGTTTGTAGGTAGGGAAAAATCTTGAAGCTACTTCCAAGTGATTTCTTCCAGCGCTCTGTGAAGACCCATGACAACTTCCTGAGCCGCTGCCTTGCATTTGCCTAACAAGTTAGGCCACACTTTCTGTCACTTTGGCAGCTGTGGAGAACTGGGGGGAGGATGTGACAGCTCTTGATGCACGGATTAGACCTGCGTTCACTCTGGGGAGAAGGGAGAGTCTCAGTGGAGGAGCACGTGTCCACCCTAACCCTCTGATTCTCTTCACAGATGGGGCACCCAGGGTGACTTCTCCACCACCCATGCGCTGCCTGCTGTGAAGGTGAAGCTATTCACAGAAAGCACCGGTGTCCTGGCCTTGGAGGACAAGGAGCTTGGGCGGGTAAGTGCTCCTCGCTGCAAGGGTTATCACAAGAACTCAGAGAGTGTCCCCCAGGTGTACACCCAGCACACAGGTCACTCACCACCAGGCCACATCATCAGGTGCTAGGAGGCTCACCTTTGAGTTTAAATCCAGGGCTTCTCTCTCCATTTGCTGTGTGGCCTTGGAAAATCCCTCAGTCGCTCTGAGCTTCAAGTTCTTTTCTATCAACTTGGGCTAACAAGAAAGTGCACTATAGAAATAGAGCATGATTATCAACACCATCAGACTCAAGCACCCTTTATAGCAAAGATCTGTAATGACCTTCACAATCTTGAGGTGAAATTCTTAAGTAATTTAACTGCCTACACACCTAACAATGTTAAAATCAGTGCAATAAAAAAGAAATCACAAAAAATTATAGTAAAAAAACTTCAGGACATGACTATCAAAGATCTCAAGAAGCAGTGCTCCACCTGTCCCTGTATGAAGGTGACAATTATAACATCCATTGCAGAGGGCGCTGTGTCAAAGACTCCCAGGCCAGAGGACCCAGGAACTGATGTACTAAAGAGATAGGCAACTCTGGGTAAAGTTCCTTCGGGTTCCCGTGAAATGTGGTGAAGCACTTTGATGTCAGAGTTAGGATCTCGACTGCATTCATCGTACCTCTGCTAATAATCAGTAGGAACACCCAAAAGCTGGGTGGGATGTAGGGCACTTCCTCCTGGGGAGGCCTTGCAGGATGCTGAACATTCCGGGCACCCCTGTGAAATGCCAACAGAGACCACCATCAATTGCTCTGTCCATCCAAGTGTCCTCAAAATCTCTGGAACACCCTGGTGGCGACACCGACCTCTTCAAGAAAACTGAGAGAGCAGAAACATTTCTCCTTGCAGCTCAGCTTTTGACAAGGCACCAAACAGCCGGTGATATCTTCAGACCTTGAGTTTGTCACTTGTCAGCTTAATTTACTTCCGAGACTGACGCTGTTTGTGACACAGCCTGCGGCCTTGAGCGGCACCCACCAAGAGTGCGTGTTCCAGCTTCTACCCAGCTCCTGAGCCTCACTTGCTGCCCCTGCCTTTCACGTGCCAGCCGCCACGTGCTTGGCCAAATTTCAGTCACCCCAGCAAGCCAGGTCCTTCCTTACCCTGGGCTTGCACTCTTCCTGATGGACTCTCCCTGCCTCCCAAGTCTCCAACAGCATGAGTGACTCCTGCATCAGGTCCACTCTCGGGCAAGCCCTTTCCTCTCGGCCATCCTCCTTCCTGCAGGTCAGCCCCCTACGCCCATCCCCATGACTGCAAATTGGACTGCCCCTGGGGTAAGAGCTCCATGGGGGAAGAAACGTGCACTCTCGCTCACCACCCCACCCCCGAAGCACAACATACAACTTTCAGTGGTTTTGCTTGTTCATAAACCTGTGTTGCTCTGCTACGGCAGCCCCAACAAAATACCTCAGGCTGGGTGACTTAAACGATAGAAATGTAACTTCCTGCATTTGTGGAATCAGGAAAGCCTAAAGACAAGAGTACCCAAGGGAGATTCCTGTGTCCTCAGGGGGTGGACAATAGCAGGTGTCTTCTCTTGTTATAAGACCACGAGTCCCATCAGATGCAGCCTGTCCTTGTGCCCCTTTTACCCTCATTACCTCCTACACCCTGGTCTCCAGATATGGTCACACCTAGGTTTTTACAGCTTCTGCACATGAAATTGGGGTGACACGGCCAGTGCGCAGGACTTTTCATTAGGATTAGTTAATACCAGTTGGGGGCATGATCCGTCCTGAAGGCTGTGGAACCTCGGCCAAGACATTTCACCTCTCTGCACATTTGCTCCGTGTTCATGAGACACCACCCCAGACATACACAGCACACATACTTAGCTGTGCCCCCAAGACTCGGTTTCTGTGCTTTCCTGTTTCTCCCCCTGATATTTTCTCCACTCCCCCAATCCAGCTCTCATGTAGGTCTGCCCTGGAATCATAATACTAGGACATGGACCACAAAGGGTGGTAAAGCAAATATTAAATAAGGCTATAAGCAAAAACCACACTACGTCCCCAGAAAGGGGAGGGAAAGAAAGGCTTTTTTTTGTTAAGAAATGGTGGGCATTGGTTCCTGTCCCTAGGGACAGAGAGACACACAGAGTGGGGTGCAACCTGCCTGCTATTTCCCCTGACAGGTTTCTTTTCCCGAAAAAGCGGATGTCAGGATCCCGTGAGTCCCGAGGACCTGGCATGTTAGTATTAGCAGGGCAAGTGAGAAAGCCAGGCTGGGCAGTCCGAGGGTGCAGAGCTTAGGGCCAGTGTGGTCTCTGCTCACCATTGCGAGGGCACTGTCCTGAGGACTTCACCACAGCCCCTGAGTGATCTTGCACAAGGACGGGCGCTTCTGACCTCATTTGCACAGCAGAGTCCGCAGAGACCCAGACACACAGAGTAAGCAGTTGCCAGGAGTGCAGCCCCTTCTCTCCTGGGCTCCCTCCCCATGCCAGGCTGACCCCAGGGAAAGACGCAGCTGGAAGCTCCGCTGTGAGCCCAGGGCCGTGGCTGCCGCAGCCCACCACTCCCTTCTGAACGATTCCAGGGAGCTCACACCGGCCTCCAGTGGCAGGGCACCCACCCACCTGCTGCCTGCCTTGTGATCCCTGCACGCCCTCTGCAGGCAGCACCTCCATGACCACACCTGGGGACCCCACAGGAGGGAGCTGCTGTGTGCTAACCCTTCAAGCTTAGGGAGGTACATTCAGTATCCCGGCTTTATGTTCACCCTCTCAAATATCTTTAGTTTGTTTTCTTTATATTATGTTTCATTTTTGTTAACAATTTTAATTGAAAGCTAACTCCTGCACATTATGTAAAAATTTAAAATGGATAAATAGTAGAAACTAATGATCCCTTTCATTCTCGCCTCATATTTCTCCACAGTGAAAAGTCTTGCTTGCAATTTATGGTATATCCCTCCCAAAATATTCTATGCACACACACACACACACACACACACACACACACACAACTGGAAGTTACATACCACTCCACACATTGCCTGCAATATCAGTATATATGGAAATTGGCCCTTTGCAGTGCACGCTGAAATGAGACCTTTTTACTTGGGTGCATACTAATCTGTTTGGTTGATATGTTTTGTTTTACCAATCCTTTGTTGATGCATTTTTAGACTATATCATCTTTGGCTGTATAAATAATGCCTTGGTGAGTAGCACTGAGCTTCTTTTTTGCATATGCTTATTGACCTATAAATTTTAATAAACTTCAAAATAAAAATTTTGCTGAATTTGAATTTTGACAGATATTGCCAAATTTTCCCAATATGCCCAGTTTTACTTCCATGAAAGGTTTAAACGAGTACCTATTTCCCTAAACCCTGGCCAAAACGGCAATATTATCAAACTCTTGTGTCTTCGGGGGGTGGACAGTAGCAGGTGTCTTCACCGATACGGTCGCAGGCCTGCTGTGTCCAGTCATTAGTATACAGACTACACAGGAATAAAGACGGGAAAAGACCTTTCAGCTCACACAGCGTGAAGGGCACACACGCAAAGCCTAGGCACAGCAGCGCAGTGTGGTAAGTGCTTGGCTGGAGAAAGGACACCTGGAAAGAAAGCATGCAAGACCCCAGGCTGGGGGCAGGGCCGCCTTCCCTGGAGTGGACTCAAGGCAGGTAGAGAGAGCAGAGAGACCTGTGCTGGAGTGCAGCAGGGCACAGGCTCTGCCCCGGTGCTGGCTCCCAGGAGAAGCTGTAGTGCCCGGAACAGCTAACTGCAAAGGAGACCGTGGTGGCCACACCCCGTCCCCACATCAGAGCACTGACGGAGGGCTTGGTGAGAGGTCCTGGACGTCTGGATGGGGTGCGTGAGCAGCACAAGCTGCTCTGCAATAGGGAGGATGTCATCGCTCAGTGGGATGAGACGTACACAGGAGCTGTCAGCATACTGGGTACCGAGCAGGCCGGGAGTGAAGAAGGAAGAGAACTGCGGTGACCTCTTGTCTCCACTGACTTTGGATGGGATGTCTCCCCATGGAGTGACCCCTGCAGGGGGAAAGTCTTTGAGAAACAGCCACTAATGGACTGTGGCCATTTGCATCATGAGTGGATGACACGTTGCCGGTGGAAAATGCATCCCGAATGCATGCGGTGGGAGGCGTGTTAATGAGCTCAAGGGGCCCGAGGCTGCTCTGCCTAGACTTAGCCGTGTGGGCAGGACAGAGGGCAGCCCCGGGCCTCTGCTGCTGCTGTGTGCGCCCTGCCAGGCTCTCACCGCTTCCCACACATCCACCCCATCTGCTCTAGGACAGATTGGCTCAGGACTGAGCCAGCATCACTGGGGTGGGCAGTTCTGGTCCTCCATCTGCAGAGCATCAGTCCTCAGGACGCAGGATGTGACTCCAGGGTGCCATATAAGGACCTCGTGAGGGAAGGGGCAGGATTCCCGCATCCACCCTGTGGCATGTCCAGTTTGCCAGTGTTAGTTAAGTAAATTTGTACATATTACAGCATAGTCTGAGCAAAATTAACCCTCACAGAATGAGCTAAGTGCCTAAAAAAACTGCTGTGGGAGAGCTCTGATTGGCTGCAACATGAAACTGCTGGAGTTCATACCTGGTCTATCACCTATGAGGTAAAAAGAATGTGAACGTCATCAGACGGCACAAGCTGTCACTCGGGACAGCTTGAAACTCTTCAGAAGATTACCGGGACTCTGAACTTATATCCAATGTCATCAACAATGGACCTTACCATCAAGGTGGTAGCTTAAAGTGTCTTAAAATACAGCTAATAGTATTCTGTATCATAACAAAAAGGTACAGTCCTCACCTGGTTCCCACAGGGTGTCAGTTCCAGGACTTTCTACAGATACCAAACCCTCGGATATTGACGTCCCTTTTATAAAATGATGTAATATTTGCGTCTAATCTGGGCGCATCCTCCAGGGTACTTCCAAGCATCTCTGGATTGCTTATATTGCCTAATAGAGTGTAAATATTATGTAGATAGTTGCTGTTCTGAATTATTTGGGGAATAATGGCAAAAAAACTCTGTTCAGTTACAATTATTTTTTCCAAAATATTTTCAACCTTCAGTTGCTGAATCCCATCAAAGAAAACAATGACATAGAGGGCTGAGTACACTAGAAAATTTGGAGTTTTTCCTTTATCTTTAGCTATCTTTTAAACCTCTGTATTTGTATATATTTTATATGTGCGATAATATATTAATACAAAGTAAGCAAATAAGAGATATCAGTGTACAGACATTGGGCTAATTGCTCCAAAGTATTTTCTTGAGTTTTCAAGAACAAAACTCTATGGCAGCCACTGGTCTGAAAATTCAGACCTTCTATTTTAGGTATGTCGTAAGGCAATGAAAAGGTTGAAATTGTGTGTTTGGCAAGAATGTGTGGTGTAAATTTTCTTCATCATAGAGGGGAAGGTTTGTGGTTAAAAAATAGAGGGGTCAGGCCCAGTGTGAAAGAGGTGAAAAAACAGCACAAATGAGGCTGAATTTTGCCATTGCTGTTACAGCCTCCGCTCTTATCAGGGCTCTTCCACAGTCAGAAGAAAAGTTGTACACGATGTGATTACAACTACAATTTGCATTAAATTTTTAAAGATGTATTACAGTGAAAGACACGTAGCCATTAATCCCCCTCAGAGTCCTTCCCCTCTTGCCCAGCGCGCTCACTCCATCATTCTTGCCGCTTTCTGAAGTTCTGGAAGTCCTCTTTCATGTCTCTGCAGTTGTACTGTCAGGCTCCTCACTGTCCTAAATTGATTCAAACATTTATGACAACTTCTGTCAAACAAAAAACATTATGGTGTATCCTCATCCACATTGTTCATCAGATCTGTCACCATCCCCAGAGTCAAAGTGACTATGAACAGTAAATGTTTTTAATTGATTTGCAATATCACTGCAGCCATCATAGGGCAACCTGGAATGTCAGAGAGACCAGCCCTGAGATTCTCAGTCCCACCTGGGCCCCCTGGTTGGGGGACAGAAGCCTGGGGAAGGAACCTGCCTGCCTTGCACCTGGTGAAATAGATACTTTGAAAATGAGAGTGGCAGGAAACATACCAGACACGCTGCCCTCACAGAAGCAGATTTGAGCAAGCCCAACTTCTGTACTGCCAAGATATAGTCCATGTTCCCTTAGTTTATGGGATTTCCCAACTCTCTTCTTCCAGCCTGAGTCTATAGTCCTCGCATTCCTCATGACTCGGGAGCGTGCACTCTTCCATCACATAATGAGAATTAGACTGCCTGAGTTGTCCACTGCTTGCTTCACCCCAGCTGTAAGGTCAGAGTGGGCACGGGAGACCCAAAAGCAAGCACCATCTCTGGCCACACCACTGACCTAGAGCTCCTGCTTCTCCAGGCTGAGGCTGTCCCTCCACGCCAGGCACAATTTCCCAGTCCAGGTGAATCCAGCTGACACGCATAACCCTAAACAAGTCCCTTCCCTTCCCTCATCTCCCACTCCTCATCCATCTGATAAGGTCCCTTCCATGGTCTACTGCAGGCTTGGAGAAATTTCTCCACTTAAAATAGTGATGAAATAATAAAGAATGGGCAGGGGGAATAGCAGACTAAAAATATTCTCTACTATATGGGGGTATTTCTCTTTCATATATCTTATTTGATGAGGAGGAGAATAATGTCCTCATATCTGGTTTCCTAAGTACTTCTGAACTTTACAACAGTCAAAGCAGAGTCACAGAAATAACGATCCTTCCTTTATAAAGTTAGCCCAAAAGAGAGAAAAGAGACAAGAGAATGTCATTTCTACCTCACAGACATGGTTACATGTGATGAGCCAGCCGTGGTGAGCAGACAGGACCATGGCAGAAGGACCTGGACAAGTCTCGCACCTCTCAGTATGAAGGTCTCTAATCATGAAAGCATGTCCATGATGACCCTTCTTTTTTATGGCTAACAAGTTTGTCCTTTTTTCCTACAGGTTATTCTCCATCCCACCCCGAATAGCCCCAAACAATCCGAATGGCACAAAATGACAGTTTCCAAAAATTGCCCAGATCAGGATCTCAAAATCAAACTTGCTGTCCGAATGGATAAGCCTCAAAACATGAAGCATTCTGGGTAAGTGTTTCTTCCTGGCATGGCCATTTGAATTATGGCTCCATTCATTTCTCAGGGCAAAATTAAAACTGGGGCTGGGGCTGGAGCTGGAGCTGAGTGGTAGAGCACTTGCCTGACCGTGGCTTCAATCTCCAACACCACAAAAATGAAGTTAAATTAAATTAATAAAGCAAAAACAAAACTGACTTCCACAGAATGACATGGAAGGAAGCATGCAGGGTTTGTGAGACATTATTAAAATATTTAACTTCCATAGTTCCTACCTCAATTCTTAACAATTATAACATTTACATTTTCATTATCATAGAAAATAATGTCCTCCTGCTCTTCTCCTCCTCTTCCTTTCTTCTGCTTCTTTTTCTCCCCCTCTCTATCTTCCCCTTCCCCTCCTTCTTCTTCTTCTTTTCTCCCTACCCCCTTTCTTCCCCAGAGAATTTCCAGTAAGAGTCCAACCTTGCAGCAAGTATACAAGGCCTTCCTAAGAGGGGAGGATTTATAGCCCACTATGCCTAGGCAGAGGCCTGCAGGTTGTTCTGACCCTGTACATTGCTTTCTTGTCCCTTCATCAACAGCCACCTCCTTGAGGTATGAACAGTTGCTGCAGCCACCTTCAAGCAATGAACTTAGGTTTAGGGTTTAGTCCATCATTTAAGTGAATGTCCAAAAAAATTGAAAATATATGATCATCTTCATTATCTTAAGCTTTGAGTGGAATGTCCAATTAAATAATTTCAAGTTGGGCAAAAAGAATCTGTAAAGTATGGGTTCATTTTATAGATCAAACCATGATCAGTACAGAACATGTTTACTGATGATTGGATAAATGCTGACCCATGGCTTATTAAACTAAATCACTTGAACCTCACATTGTCAGAAAATGTGACTCTTAATGTGGGCCATGTAACTCTGAGTAGAGGCACGTTTAGCCAGCTGCAGGAAATGAATAGTTTTTCAAGTATTCTACCAGTATCCTTTGCCAACCAGCTATCATTCAGCTTAGCTGGTCACCAGCAAGGTCTCCTTTCTTCTCCTTCAGTTGAAAGTGCTATACCAATGGCTTAAAGTGTTAACACTACCCTGAAAAACAAGGACTGGCTACATGTTCTAGAAGAGATTAAGAAACCCATTATCAAGGCCCAAGCAGGGGTTGGGCCAGTCTAAACAGGAGAAGTCCAGGTGGCCATGGCCAGGACAGGAAGTAGACATCCCAGTGGATGAGCAGCACACAGTCAGAGAGCAGAGAACAGGGCCCTCCCAGTAGTACATCCAAGGTCAATGGGGCACTCCAGGCCCAAGGTTTCAGGAGAGATAGTGACCTACCTGCCTACCAGGGCACCAGAGTGGTTCAGGGATAGAGTGCTCCAGAGGAAGCAGCAGCCACCCGTGCAATGGAAACTACTTGCTGAATGGAAGCTCTGCATGGACTTGTGGAATTCACATTGCACTGTCTGAGGGACAAGTTGTACCAAGGCCTGAGATGGGATTATGGTATAAGAAGGCTGGTGGCGGGTAAGCCAGGCCCTAAGTATACACTCAGTCTTTTCCAGCTGTCAGGGAGAAAATCCAGCCAGTGTTTCCTCCTCTTCCTTATTGTATTCCTGGCATATATCCCAAAAATATTAATGACATGCTTCCCTAGTACTGTGTTTTTGCCCTCAAGGGTAAACATCTTAGGTTCAAGACAAAGGGGTTAAGAAATCTGATAGTTTCCTAGAATGCATCAGGGAAGATCCTACATCTTTAGCAAGATTCTGACTCATAAATACTGAAGAAATATTTTCTGGGCAAGAATGAGCAGGGCAGAGGGGAAAAGAGAGGGAAATGAGGAGGAGATGGTAGGTGGAAGGCAGAATGGTAGGAATAGGGAAGAATATGAGCAAAATATATTACATATACCCAATGAACGCTGCCCCAAATGTGAAACTGGTGGGGGAGGGGGAGGTAAATCGGGTCATACGGGGGTGAAAACAACAGAACATGTTATGTGTGGTGCAAATCTGACAAAATGAAATTCTTTAATCTGTATAACCAGTTAAAAAGGAATCAAAGAAAATAGGACAGAAGTGAGCAAGAAAATTATTTCTCTCATTGAAATGATCAATTTGACAAAAAAGTATAGCTATCTAAACTGCTATTTCAAAAAATGTCCTTGGAAAGGGTACCTCCCCCACATGCTTCCTCTCTAAGGCAGAAGAGCAGGAAGTTCACAAACACTGGCTCCTTTCCTCAGCAACCCCTGAGCTTAGGCATTACTTCCCCCATTGGCCAAATTCCAATTTCCCGCATTCTCTTCATTCACTCTGTTGAAAACCCAACTAATGAATCCAGGTTCAGGATGTTTTTCCTCTTGATTCATTTGTAAAATCATTAACACGAATTTCAGGCTACCTTGACTCTACAGACAAATGTGGAAATGTGTGGCTAATTTCTGACAAGTTCCATAACGCTTTATAGCACTGAATAGTCATTCAACAATTCCCCTTGTCACGTCCACGAGAACAAGGCTTGACATACAGTAAGTGCTACAGCTCTGTGAGTTGTTTCTGTTGCTGCTGCTGCTGGTGGTGGTCACCTTTATCATTGTTTAATTTCATCCATTCTTTGCACTTTCCCCTGTCCACACTTCTTGCACCTGGGGACCAGCAGCTCCCTCCTTGTTTTCTCCCATCCCCCAAGCAGGAGTGGGAAGCATCCTCAGAGGAAACATGGCTCTTGTCTCACTGCAACTCCTGTTCTCACGAGACACTTTCATGAAGAATATCTAACAGGGAGGAATAAGTGCAAAAGGTCTGTTGTGCAGCTAGTTAACGGTCCTATGTACCTGAAAATCTCTAAGAGAGTAAATTTTAAGTCATTCTTACCATGAAAAAGGTGATGAGTATGTGAAGCAATCACAAATTAATTAGTGCAATCCAATCTCTCCACAATGTACAATACATACATTTTGCTACATTCTGTTGTTCACTCTAATATATAATTCCTACATGTGAATTAAAAATAAACTTAAAAGATAAAAAATCATAGTCATGAAAATGAATTGGTAATAAAACTGTGTCCTGCTTCTCAACCCCTTGTAGCACATCAGGCACCAAAGTAGCACAAGGACTGTGGGAAGCAAAGTGGCTCCTCCCACTCAGCCAGACTCACTCTCCTCCTTGGCCAGAGCAAGAGCAGCAGCAGCAACATTTGGCCCAGGTTCTTTTGAGATGAAACCTTGGTCTCTCTGGTCTCCATGTCCCGCTCATCGATCCTCCCCCGTGTCTGCTGCCCATGGCAGAGGATCCTGGGAAATGTCCTTTCCTGCACTGCTGCTCACGGCCAGCCATCCTGGAAGAAGGCACACACAGAGAGCTCATGAGCACTGCCTGAGTGCTGCCTGCCACGGAGCCCAAGTCATGGGGTCTTCTGCGACTGAGCGACTTTCAGAGATTCTATCTTCCTCTTCTCTTTCTAGCCTTTTGTAGCACACTCTGGCCTCTCATAGCACAGATGCCCTCAGCAAATGACAGGGGTGATGCTGACACATTTATAGATTCTATAAAATGCTGCAGGAAAGACTACCTGGGAATTGTGACGTCAATAGAATTCAAAGTTCTAAAACCAGACAGGTGAACCTCACTTTATTTTCCAGCAGTCATGCCCAAAAGCTGAATATAAACTCAAAGAAAGTATCCAGAATGAACCCTTTACAGAATCAATCTCCCTCCCCCTCTCCCTCTTCCTCTGCTTCTTTTTTTCTCTTTCCCTTTCTCTCTCTTCTGTACTGGAGATTGAACCCAGGGCCTTTGTATTAAGCTACATTCCCCCAGCAGGTTTTTTTTTTTTTAATTTTGAGACAGAATCTCAATTTGCTAAGTTGCCTGGACTGGATCCAAACTTCTGATCCTCCTGCCTCAGCTGCCAGAACGCTGGGGCTGTAGGCTTACTGTGTGTCAGTGACTGTATGTCTTATAAATCCTCGCAGTAGCCCTATGATAGTAGATATTATTTTGCAGCTGAAGAATCAGGCACCGGGCAGTTAAGCCAAAGGAGAGTTAGCAATGTGGCCAGAATTCCCACTAGGGTATTTCCCCCTAGTTTGAGACATAACCAATAGGACAAACTCCTGCTCGCTACACTGGAATGCTGGTTTATGTATCGGCAATTCAGACTTCCACACCTCCTGAGAGCTCAAAGAGAGCACTGAGGGCACTCCTGCCTGGCCAGATGGATCAGCCTGTGGGGAGAGGAGCTGGCAGGGGGGCACCTGTGCGTCTGCCATCGCAGACTGCCCATCTGCTCCAGGTGCTACGCATTCTGTTCAGTGAGCGTGTTTCAACCTGAGGACACAAAGACCGGAGCTGGCGAGACAGAAGCAGCGCTCCCCAGCCTGCGGTCCCTCTTGGTTTGGACGCCTTCTGAGAAGTGCCACAGGCGTGATACGTTCTGGGGAAGCCCCACCCTCGCCCAAACCAACTGACACTTTCCACGGAGAGTTGTGAATTTCTCTCCGATCCCACCAGCTTTCAGAAGCCTTTACCCAGAAATCCCCTCTGTCCAATTAGAGTAGTAGTTCATTTTTAAAACTTTTTTTCAGTTTAAGTTTATTTTTAACTGAAGCATGAAAACATAAATACTGTACATATGTACGGGTTCCATGTGCTGTTTGATGTATGTGTACACGGTGTAACGTTTAAAACAGGGTAAACACAGCTATCGCCTCAGTTATCATTTCTCTATGAGGAAGCACTGGTGATTTCCTTAAATTCCTTTCTTCTAGCAGTTTGAGATGTACAGTGTATAGTCGTTCTCTGTAGTCACCCACAGTGCAGTAGCACACCAGGGCTTCTTGCGTCTGTGCCTAAGTGACCCTGGTCAACCGCCCCTGCCCCTCCTGCTCTGAGTTCAGTGAGTACACCTGTTTGCTGGCTAGAAGCAGGGAGACAGCACGGTGAAGACAGTGGAGGCTGCATCAAAGCCACAGGTCCCTGAGTGTAAATCCTGATCATATCACCCTGCAGCTGTGGAGCCCGCGAAAGTGACTCAGACTTCCTCAACCCCTGTTGCCTCAACTGTGAAGAAGGAATTACAGTATAAGAGACAGTTAACAGTAACTATTGGGGCTGGGGATTTAGCTCAGCAGCAAAGTGCCTGCCTGGCAAGCGCAAGGTCGTGAGTTCAATTCCTGGCACCAGAAGAAAAACAAAAAACAGTAACTATTTACTTTCTGCCAGGTATTAATCTAAACACTTTATTTTTTTATTTTAAACAGAATTTTAAAAATTTTTAAAGCATTAAAAACAATATACAATTTCAAAACAAGATGATAGGAAATCAACAATGGTTGTTATATTGCATATTGTTATGTTCAAAGTAGTTGTTCAAATTACCAAATGTAGCCATCTAAAATTGATCAAAAAAATTAAGCATTAACTGCTCCTTTCAATAAACCAATAGAAATTAGTAGCACAATCATCTTAGCTATCTTGAGTGTGTGCATGCGTAAATATATATATTTTTTCCCTTCCTTCTTTCTTTCTTTTGTCTTTTCCCCCATCCCAGTTGTTTGTTTCTTTTCAGCAGTTTCTTTCCCTTTCATAATATCTATTGCACCTTTTAGACTTTGTTAACTTGTTCAGTTCTTTACACTGGGGAGACAATATGATGTTTACACATGCAGGCCAGTTTATTTCACTTACGAGTATGGTCTTGAGTTGCATCCATTTACCTATACTTTATATTTCTATTTTAATCCTCATAACCATTGAACGAGGTACCATTATTATTATATTTTATTATATAACAACATAACATTACTGTTGTTGTTATTATTATTGGGATTATTATCCCCCATTACACAGGTGAGAAAACTGAGGGACAGGAAGGAAAGCTTAGAGAACTTCGTTGGTGATGGATGGCAGTTTTAAATACAATGTTTTAATATCTCATCAAAGCATTTAGAGCAATCACTCTGGTTTCTCAAAAGCTTAGCACTCAAAACCAGCTGTCATAGAGCAAGCATCTATCAACAACTTACCATGTGTCAGGAACTGAAAGGAATTCAGAAGAAAAACAAGGTTCTGGGGCAGAAATTCAGAAAGAAGGACCAAGGCTCCTGCCCTGGAGGAGATAACAGTCTAAGAAGAACAATGAGTATGAGAACAAATACATCATAGCGGCGGGTAGTCGCGGGGGCAGGGTTATCTGCACAGCCAGGGAGGTGGTGGCTTCAAGATGAGACACCGGGCAGGCGAGGAGCTTTCCAGGCAGCAAGAGCCACTTGTCCGCAATGGCCGAGAGGTAAGGAGGAAGCTGAAGGATGCAGGAGGCCCCCAGGCTTCTGGTTGAAGGTCTGCACAGATTTTGCCTACCAGCCATGCTTAAGAGCCCTGAAATTGATCCAACCGTAAAGTTTCATTAAGATACATTAGTTATTATGTTCCAAAGTGGACGTTCTGTCTGCGTCAGGGTGAAGCGAAGACTTAGAAGTGTCCAATCGGTTTATGTCAGGAGACAAGGCCAGTTTTGGAAGGTGAGAATCTGAGTGTATTTGAATGTCACCAGATCCCCTGCTCGGTAGGGTCTAAAAGTGAACAGGGTCCCTTTCTGGAAGGAGCGGGGAGGGGGTCCTATGTTAACCGTCCTGCATTCGCCAGGATTACAGCTGAGTAACAAAGGGGAAGGTTTTCCTGAATGAAAGTTGACGAGGGGTGGAAGAGTCGAAGTTGAAGACTTCACACTCTTTTCCTCTCTCTCTTGCACAATAGCTCTCGGGAGTTGCCTCACCTAAAAGCCTTTTAACACATAAGCACACAGAGCCACGAAGTGGTGCTGTCTGGAATCTGCTAAGGAAGGGGCCGACTCCTCCTTGCCACGGACTGCACCCACTGTCTCGTCCTCACTCACAGAGTTCCCACGTGTGCACCTGCGCCTGAGCCCACGTGCCTCCTGGTGCATTGCCGGCCTTCCTGGGAAAGTATGTCCGGCCGTGTACTGGCTCAGGCATTAATGCAGCTCCTGTCTTTCTCTTTCCCTTAGGTATTTATGGGCCATCGGTAAGAATGTGTGGAAGAGATGGAAGAAAAGGTTTTTTGTATTGGTGCAGGTAACTCTTCTACTCTAATATCAGTCTTAAGGGCCATCAGTGTTAAAGACGTGATAGAATGAATGAATGCTTATTAATTAAGGTATGGCGTGTATACAGCACACAAAACTCAAGCATTCAGCTCGGTGTGTTTTTGCAGATTCTACGTCCAGGTAACCACCACTCAGAGAAAGACACAGAAGACACTCATGTAGCCAGAGGGTTCCCCAATGCTCCTCTTCTTGTTTTTATGTCACTTAAATGTTTGAAAGAATTAATTCACACTTACTCTTTTTAAGCCTAATAATACAGAGATGTGAGAGATACATGGAAAGAGTAGACCCCCACCCCTGCCCAGGGCCAAGCCAGGGATGCAGGACCCCAGGAGGGAGCAAATGTGTAGCTATTAGGCAATAGGGACAGTGAAGTTGTCTTAAAATAATTTGATATTTCTGAGGTAGTCTTGTCAAAACTTAGATGGGTTTTGCATTACTTAACGAACTTGATTCTGAGTTACCTGTCAGGGGCACTCTATTATTTGGTGCCTGGGGCTTCCAAAAGCCTTAAGCAACCTCCCACAACTATGCTCGGTAGAGTATTTCTTTCCAGAGAGATTATTACTTTTTTAAGCAAAACTAACCAAATTCTTCCCGTTACACTGCAACTTGTTTTCTCACACTAGTAATTATAGACATTTTTCCACATTTACACTTCAGCTCTTGCTCCAATACCTGGAAAGTTTTCCCTTTTTACTGGACTTCTGGACTCCTTCAACTAGGGGTGCTGTTAACGGTGTTCCAAAAGAACACCCACATATATGTATTCTATAGATTCAGATATTGATATTAATTAATGATGCACTAGTCACATATAAATAATAATTACCTTCTTGAGTGTCTCTAAAAACAAATACCCAAGGCTGGGGATTTAGCTCCAGCGGCAAAGCACCTGCCTGGCAAGCATAAGGTCGTGAGTTCAATTCCTGGTACCGGAAGAAAAGACAAAAGACAAAAAAATTAAAAATAAAAACAAATTCCCAGAAGTCATAATACACGTCCTTGAAAAGTAATGTGTGGCTGGTTTTTGTGCACTGGGTCTTTCAGCTTACTAATTTGCCATTGCCTCTTTCTGATTGGTAATCTCCATCACAGCATTTACACTATAATTCAGTTTATAAAATTCTAATGTATATTGGACTCTGAAATAAGTCAACTTATAATTTAGTAACAAATGGTGCTTATTGGGCACTTAACTAGTATTTAGAGTACTACTGATTGTGAAATCTCACTATGAAGCAGCTCCATTTTAGGTCTAAATGACCTTAAAGGGGCTGGGGATTTAGCTCAGCGGCAAAAGCGCCTGCCTGGCAAGCGCAAGGTCGTGAGTTTGGTTCCCGGTACCGGAGAAAAAAATAAATAAATAAATAAATGACCTTAAAAATTCCACTAAGCCTGAACTTTGGATGACATCCTCTGCAGAGCTACTGGAATCACTACTGCTCCACTAAGGCAAAATGCAGTTCTCTTTCTACGGACAAGACGCAAGCTTTGCTTTCATTACTGGTGTAAGGTACAACAGAGCCTCACAGCAATTATTTACAAGGACAACATTGGAGTGATGTCTGCCCTTCAAAAGCTCTGGCTAAACAATGGAAGACACTCATCTGAGAGACCTTTCCTCTTACTATCAGCTGACTAGTACTTTCTGCACCCTGCTCTGTGCAGGGCATGCTGAGAGGATGTAGGAGTGAGGAGGTCTGGTCTTTTGCTTCTAGAATGGCACCTGTTGCAATTTTTATATACGAACAGCAGATTCAACTAATTGAGGTTTAAGAAAGAGAAGGAAATTAACGTGCGGGATAGCTCAGAGGCGGTCCACAGCACTGGTGAAAGGCCGAGCGACCCGCCCTTGCTAAGGACTCAGCCCAGCATAGCTCCAGAAATCCTGGTTTTCCCAGTGCAGACACAGGACAAAACGGCTCTGCTCATTTCTATCCTGATCACTCCACTCGGTCACATTTCAAAGAGAATTGGAGTAGCCCAGCCCGGGTCACACGCCCAGCCCTTAGCGGGGCAAAGGGCTGCACTGGCACTGACAGCTCCACTGGGCATCTCTCTCTGGCGCAAAATCTGGACACTATTCCCAGAAGCAGAAATGGACCATGGGCAGGAAAGCGGCTGGAGCCTGCTCTAAAGAGAGCAAGGGTAACTGGGGAGGGAGGGAGGGCTGACGGAAAGAGACAGAGCTGAATGGCGGGCAGCTCTCCCTCCCAGGGCCCTCCACTGCACTTGGCTTGGCAGCGTCTCTTAGCATCCCTCCCCTGGTAGACTGGTTTGGGACTGGATCTGTGCCTGATCCGTCTTGTGTCCTTCCTCCTTTCCCCCACCACACTCCTACATGTTTCCTGGCTCAGTCATTCAGGAACTATTTGGTAGGAAAGAGAGAAGGGAAAAGAAGATGGAGAAGGGGTGGTCCTCAGAAAAGAATGGTGTGTGGTCAGGAGAACGACACCTTCCCGAGGACGTGCACCCATGGTCCTCTCACCAAGCTGTGGAGTCCTCTCTCTCCTGGGAGGCAGCCAGTGTGCTCCGCTAGACGTGTGGCTTTGCTCTGAGAATCTCTGAAGTGACGCAGTACTTAGAAGCAGCTGACCTCTTGCCTTGGGAGAGACTTTATTGGAGGGAGGCTTTGAAAGAAGAACCTCAGGGATGGGGATTTAGCTCTGCGGCACAAGCGCCTGCCTGGCAAGTGCAAGGTCCTGAGTTCGATTCCCAGTACCAAAAAAAAAAAAAAAAAAAAAAAGGAGAAACTCTTCAGGAAATACACAAGAGGAAATGTACCAAAAATATCAGTGAGTCCAGCCACGTTTGTACAATGTGTACTGAACTGAAAAGGAGAGACGGTTTTTAGGCCATGCAACTGAACACAGATCTGTTAGAGCTTTCACCCTGACCCTCCAAGCGAAGACAAGAATCACCCAGTAGCCAAAGAGCAATCTATGCACCCTCTTCTGAAAGTCATAGAAGGACACAAACTATCTAGAGCTCCTGGGCTTTTCCAGAACAGCAGGAGAGAGGAACTTCAGCATCTTGTGATTGTTTTCATGTACACACGATTCTCATTAATTTTAACAAGCCACTGAGGTGGATCAGACCCTCTCTTTCAACCTCAGTAGGTGCTCTTCAGTACCCTCCTTGAACCTTCTGTTCCAGCCTAAATAGATGCCTCCCCGACACCCTCCGTGACCGCCAGTGGCGACATAACAGCTGCATCGCCACAGAGGGAATCGAGGAACCATGATGAAAGCTCAGGTCGTCTGTTTCCGTTCTTGCCCTGTTGCCATGTCAACGCCTAAAGGTGGTCTTGGCGGCCACCCTAGAAAACTCTGTGTAATCTCTGAGTTCCTCTCCTGATTCCTTCTCTCCTACTCCAGTGATCCCACTGAGAAGAACTTTGTCAAAGTGATAAAAAGAAAACCCATCCCCTGGAAACAACCTCAGTGCCGACATAGCTGCAGGAGAGAAGTTCGAGGTCCCTAGTCCTGGACCAATGCAGAGGAAGCAGTGGTGTCCCAGGCTTTTGGAAAGCAGGATGGCAGCCCAGGGGGTGACCACAGGGGCTGGCATCCACACGCGGTGTGGAATGCAGTTGTGCAAACAAGGCATTTTCAGTTTCAGCCAAACCCAGCCCTGGAATTCAAAGTACAAAACTGACAGCAGGAGACACCGCCTGGTCAAGTATAAGGGAGGGTCAGGGAGTGGGGACCAGAGGACCCCCAGGCAGCCAGCTCAGCTCTGGGAAGGACAGGGTAAAAACCACGAAAGAGAAAGGACGTCAGCCCAAGTGCCTGTCTCAACTTTTGTTCTCTTTAATTCTAGTGTGAGGTTTTATGGAATGTGTTTTATATGGAGCTGGCAGCGATAATTTCCAACATAGTTTTATGACTTAACATATTAGGTTTTAATACAAGAAAAGTTGTTTAAAAACCTGGGAGAAAGAGGAGATACCCAATTTCAGTTCCTCCCTCACCCCTAACACACACACACACACACTCACACACTTTTCTATTGTAACCCAGAACTACTGAAATTTTCCCTACATGAGATCTTCTAGCGCTACTACTTGCGGGGAGGGGAGCAAATGGCAGATTGTAAATGAATTTTTTGCCAGGAATGAAGGACATCCTCTGAGGGGTAGAACCACAGTAGGAACTGCTATTTATTTAGAATTACTGATGACATGGCCAGAGTCTGCCAATCCAACTTTGAGGAGAATGAAGCCATTACTTGGGGTTTCTGAACCAGAGGCTGAGGCCTTCTTACACGATGAGACACTGTTCTCCAAGTTGGGCCTGCACACCTACAGTGGACATTACTGCACAGACCCCAAGGTGTCATTCAGAAGACTCCGATGCATAGGATTTGCTTTGGGGCCCAGAGATCTATATGTTTAACAAGCACCGTAGGAAATACTGATGTAGGAGGTCCAAGACCACCCTTAGAGAAACACTACCTTAGCAGTCATTGTCCCTTGAAACAAGAGGGAGTCTCATTCTCTTCGGGCTATGCCCTCTCAGAGTTTATGTTGTCCAGGTGAAGCCCGGCAGTGTACCACACACACTGTTATGTGCAGATGGCATGACACAGCTTTGAAATTCCAGTATTTGCCCTTTGAATTTAGCTGCAGACCCTAACACAGAGATTAAGGGTAAATAAGTCTTTGGTGACCTGAGTCAAAACATTACTGGATACTCATTCTAAACCCACAGAGGCATGGCAAGGACCAAACACATTGATTGCCACTATAACGCTAACCAAATCATGACCAAAGCATTGGTAATAATAAAACGGCCAATTCCAGAGAGTTCTATTTCACCGTTGGTACTCCCCACCTTGGGTGTACAAGGAGAAGAGTGAAAGAAGGCCAACCTACCACCATGCCAGCTCAGGGAGTCTACTCCTGTCTTTTTATTTTAAAAATATTTTTTCTTCTACACTCAAAAGATGTCTGGTCTTAAATCAGTTTTCAGGCTCAGAAGAGTTAAGTAGCTTTCTCAAAGGCAACGGCTGGTGTGAGGTCTAAAGAGATTTTTGTTTATAGAATGGTATAGAACTTGTTTACTTTGCCCAGCATGAAACAATGTGGTCCCCAAGTCCACATCCTCTGTTTCTGATTTTCTACAGAGATGGTGACTAAAAACTCCGACTATTCCAAGCTTTCAGAAAAGATACTAAATCCAAATGAGATAAAATGTTGGGTATTGTAAAAAGCTTTCTATACTGCAGTATCTCGGTGTTATTGAGAATGCAGTATTAGAATAAGTTAACCACACAAATGATCTGTAAGGCATGTACGTACCTGAGTCCCCAGGAATGCTTTCGTGCTCAACTTGACAAATGCCCTAGAGGCCATTTATATTTATATTCTTGTCGCAATAACAAAAATAACACAAAGAAGCTTCAGTTTTAAAAGAGCAAGAACCGTACTGTCAATTAAATTAGTGATGGAGTGAAGAGTCTTCTGGCATAGCTAGGTCCAGGGTCGGACAGTGTCACAGGACGTGGCCTCTCTTTATAAACACTTCACTCTGCTTTTCTCCGAGCCGGCCCCACCCTCAGGCACCATCTTCCCAGGAGGTAGGGTGTGGCAGCTCAAGCCTCGCATTCCAGCAGACCTAGGGGAAAGAAAGCCTCTCTGTCCTCACAGGCCATTAGTAAGCTTTCATTGGTCCAGTGTGGTCATGTGCCCATCCTTCCACCAATCACTGCCGCCAGGGAGATGTGATGCTGATTGGTCAGGCCTGGGCACATAATCCGCCTATCCTACCTGCAGCTACAGGTGCAGTTATACCCACGTGAGCCTTTCGGAGTGACAGTGAAAAGATGGTGATTTCCCAAGGAAAGTCAGGAGTCAGTTGCCAGAAGGAAATGAATGCCAATGTTGTCATCATTCCCACTTAAAGTACACAAGCTACATCCCAGCAAAGTTGTCTGAACTGTCCAGGGTTACATGGCTAGGAAGTAATTGGTCAGGAAATCAATCCAGTTCTGTTTAGCTACAGAACGTGCGCTTCCTCTGGCCTTCATGAAAACAGCAACGAGGAGTCTGGGCTTAGACAGCACGATCCTTTATTCAGAGCCACGTCACATTACATGTGGTCTTCAGTCCCCCAGAAGTGCACACTTCACACACAAAAAAATTATCCATCCACAAATCTTGGCTGAAGCCGTTGATGCTTCTGCTTGAATATTTGCCCTACCAGCTAAACCTAGCTGGACCAAGTCCCCAAGTTCTTACAGTACCACCTATCCTCTTTAAAATACTCATCACTATTAACATTACACATTCCTAAAATACTGTGATTTATGCCTGCCTTCCTAGTAAACGCAAGGGAAGAAATCATGTCTGTTTTCTGCATATTTACATTCCCAGCACCAAACACACCACCTATTTTTCAAATGAATGAATGTGCCATAATAGAAAGTGCTCTTCTAGGATATGTATATGTGAACTTGGGGAAAGGGGTAATGTCCAGGGTTCAGTAAAATAACAGATACAACGACAAAAGCCAAAAAAAAAAAAAGGAATTTAGGCAAAACATACTGTCAGTTTGCACATCCATTTGTTTTAGTCTTCCATGAGCAGCAAGAGGAAGAGCCAACCCTCAGGTCTAATCACCGCACTCTGCTGGCTAAATCTAATTGAAACTTAGGGACAGGCTTAAAGAGTTTGGATAGCTCCTATGAGTTAAAACGGTAGAGCTCAGACCTAAATGTACACTGAGACACATCTGAGAATCTTCATCAAAGAACAACTTAAAGGCTGGTGTGGTGGCGCATTCCTCTAATTCCAACACTCTGGGAGTCTACGGCAAGAGGATCACAAGTTCTAGCCCAGCCTGGGCAATTTAGTGAGACTCTGTTACAGAAGAAAGGGAGGGAGGGAGCAAGGAAGGAAGAAAGGAAGGAATGGAGGAAGTGAGGGAGGGAGGCTGGCTTGCTGGCTAAGAGTGTAGCTCAGTGCAAAGTCCCTAGGTTCAATCCAGAAAGAGAGACAGAGAGGGAGTGACAGAGACTGAGAGAGTGAGAGAGACAGAGACAGAGACAGAGAGAGAAGGAGGAAGAGGAGCAGGAGGCAGGGAAGCAGAGGAAGGCGAGAGAGGACAGGGAAAACAGAAGAGAGAATACAGAAATTCTTTCATGACCGAGAACGTGCATTTCATTGGGAATAGCTCCCTGGTAAAGATTAAACCCAAACAAAGGTCCCCAATCTCTGCCCCCACCCTGCAAGCACTCTAGAACAACTAAGGTTCTACGAAGCCTGCCAAGGTAGTAGGTAAGTAGAACTACTCAAAGGGCATTCTCCCTTCCTCTATTTTCTAACCTAAATGGCCAAATCCTAAATAAAAATAATCCGAATACCACACAAGCATTTGCCGGCTCAAAGCGTTTCCCCGAGTGACTTCCGCAGTTCAGCCAGAAGGGGGCAGCAGGAGACAGAGCTACAAGAAGTCGGCCCCAAACCCGAAGGCGCGAGAGAGCAAAGGCCCAAGCAGCGCGGCAGCAGTACGCGTGTCAATCTTGAAATAACACCGTTGCGTTGTGATATTTTCTGATCGCCACTGAGTATCAGAACCTCTCCGTTTGGCTAATCACATTAAGAAACTATATCATCTCTCACGTTGCCAGAGGAACTGTCGGGTAGAAATTACCAGGGAACCGCCCCGGCAGGTTCTGTGATCGCCACTGCGTTGGGGTTTGGGGAGTCTGTGACGGACAGGGCCAGGCACAGGGCGGGGCGACCTGGGGCTGTGCTCGCAGTAGCCTAAAGTTAGGGGTGAGGCAAATCTCTCTCTACTGAGTTGTGCATACCTCGTTGGCACCCACAGACACAATCAGCGGGTGCACATCAGATGACAGACTTTGCTCGCGCGGTGTAACAGAACCGAGGTGCATGGCTCCCCGGGCCTCCTTCAAAGGCCCTGGCATCCAGGAGGCAAACGCCCCGACCAAGCTGCCCAGGATTAGAATGCCGGCCCCGCGTGTAAGAGCACTGCTTCCACACAAAAGGCGTGGATGCAGGGTTAGATGTTTGCGTTGTGCGTGTTGCACACGGTGTGTAAAGCACAACGATCGTCCACAACAAAGCGACGCACAGATGCGGGCTCTGAGGCTTACAGGAACGATGGGCTATGAGAGCGGCCTGGGATCCCAGACCCCGGAGCCCCGCTTGCACGCATCCTTCATGGTGAGAGCGGCGGCTGCTGTTGGCCGTTCTGCACGGCACAGAAGTCAAGGCAGGCCGTCTTAGGGAACGGTTCTCGGCGGCCCGGCTGCGTCTCACCGGGGACCTTGCGCTGCAAGGAGTAGGTTGTGCACATCACAAGCCCTGGAGAGAAACTCGGGGGGCGGTGACATTCTCAACACGCACCGACAGAGGGCAGCAGCAGACAAACCAGCCGTCGAGCCGCGCCGCACGCAGGCTTTTCATCTAGCCTGGGGACCCTCGGGACGGACAGCGCAGCAGAGTTTTGTGAGGCTTGCGAACACCGATTCCTTATCGCCATTCACAACAGCAAAAGACGAAAGACAAATCTCACCGAAGAGAGACTAACATGTTCCCAGCCGGCATTCAAGTTCGCTCAGGAAATGTCTCTTTTAATAAAAGGAACTACGTGGTGAGGGACATGGCACTCCTCCGCCCAGACATTTGACATCCCTGGATGGCAAATGCGCCCAGGAGCTTATCCTGAAGCTGGGAGAAGGCTCGCTTTCCCACAGGCTCCTGGCAGCTCCGCCAGATGTAGAAATGCCAAGTGTCCGCGCCAGGGCTGGATACACCATGACAACAGGGTCCTGGAGCTGGGCCTGCAGCCTTGCGCACCCACCCTGTGCTGGCACGGGTGCCACACGTCAGTGGAGTGAGAGCTGCCACTTCGGGCACCAGTGACAGTGGCCATGCCATCGGGGGCGAGGGACTGTCCAGTATGACTGGCACCCAGCAGCTGCGTGCTCATTGCTTGTGACAGCATGTCATTCCCGCATTTGTCTGAGATGAAGGGGAGACCAGAGTGACCAGAAGCTCCCCTCACTGAGCGGTCGTGGCAGAATGAAGCGTCTAGCTTGATGCTGAGAACAGGTCTGCCAAAAATAAAATACTTCTCTAAAATGCATAAATAGATGAATGCACAGGCTCTAACTCCAAAGCAAGAGGCTTTTTGTGTCCACCAGCAAGGTAGCCCCAGCCAGGACCTCGGCCGTAATAGACAGAACCTATCAAATTGCTGATGTTCAACCACACCAGTGGCAATCGCAGGTATCTCAACCCACTTAGAGCAAGGACAGCAACAACGAGAGCAGCTGACTTTCACGGTGCACTTGCCAAGTGCCATGAGCAGATCTAAGGGCCTTCCTGCCTCAGTTCTTTCAGTCCTCGCAGGAAGCCAGTGGTGCAGGGTCTTAGCTTGTGTCCAGTCTGCAGACGAGGTCGCAGAGGCTAAAAGTCACACGTGCAGCAGGTGTCGAAAGTGGATTTGGACTCGGGGGAAGGACCCGGGCGGAGGGGGCGGGTCTCTGTGGGGAGGTTGGGCGCTAGAGAAACGACTTCACAGCCCACTTTCCCTTCCCAGGTCAGTCAGTACACATTTGCCATGTGCAGTTACCGCGAGAAGAAGGCGGAACCTCAGGAACTCCTACAACTGGATGGCTACACTGTGGACTACACCGACCCCCAGCCAGGTACCGCGTCTCCACACACTGGTCCCGCAGAGCTCTCGTGCTCCTTAACTCAGCGTCCGGCTAATAAATACCAGCATTCATGGTAATAGTAGCAAGGACTCCTGCTAGGCGCTGGGTGCTGACTCAAGGGTGACAGCCACGGTGAAGACCATGCTCTTACAGTTTTCCCCAAAGATGATTAAATGCCATCCGGGCCCGGGGCTTTTGTTTTACATAGCGGATTCTTGGATTGAAAACTCAAAAACAAAATACGTACATTTTCCTTTTGCGTATCTTTTTTGTTTGTTTGTTTGTTTTGTTTTTTGGTTTTTCTCCGGTAGCGGGAACTGAACTCACGACCTTGCGCTTGCCAGGCAGGCGCTTTTGCCGCTGAGCTAAATCCCCAGCCCCTCCTTTTGCGTATCTTTAACCACATCAGACACACCATGCTAACATGCACTCCTGAGAATAGAATTTCTACGTATACACTCAAGACTCTGTGTATGTGGGTGTGTGCAGCTTTTGACCAGTAATGTCTGGGCTTGGAAGACATTACATCATGACCCGACTAGAGTTCAAGAACTCGGTAAGGTTAGCCAGTGGGGCCTGGTAAGAACAAACTCTCTAAGTACATTTGTTCCTAAGAAGACACTGGCCTCCGAGCACAGGCATCACGAATCCCAAGCCTTATGTAACTAAGAGAACCATATAAATGGAAGTATTTCTTGTAAGTTCTACGTTGCATAAGTTTTACATCCTGCCCCCTCACACTCCCCCCACCCATTTTATCTTTTTCCCAGAAAAAAATGAATAGAAATCAGCCTCAAAGAACCTTCAAAGTGAGGGTGGGGGGTGCGAAATCATTTCAGCATATTAATGAACAACAAGCACCAACAGCCCTCTCTCAGAGAAGTTTATTTTTATGCCAAATCTGCACGAGGGAAGCATTTCCAACCATACTGCATTATTTGGCCCAAAACCTTTTTTCATTCCCATATTGCTCTTCCACATGCAACAAAATACACATAAAGGAAAAACAGTTTGAGAGAAGATGGGGCATTAACCTGAAAAGGTGACGCAGGGAGGCCTTGGCCTGGCCCCCTTAAGGAAAGCGGCATTCCCGAATCCCAGCCCTTAGGCCTTCCACTTGTAACTCGCATCCTTCCGGAGCATGGTGCAGAGCTGACCATGCCAGACAGGAGGAAAAGCTTTGCCTGGAAACCCTTCTGTAATGGACAGAACCCAGAGCTAGAACCTAACCACTTTGTAGAACAGCTTATTAAATGGAGGGGCTCTGCATTGAGAAACCAGTGTCAGGGCATGCTGCAGCAGTTTGAGTTCTCCAGTCACTGGGTTCTCTTTGCAGAAGTAGATTCAGTCACACCTAAGGCCTACATCTCCCCAGGGGAGGCTGAAGAGGAGAACCAACACCACCTCATGACATTCGCTTCCTGACAGCCAGCTCACCACTTGCTGTCCGCCATGATTGCATTTGACTCTCAGCACATCTCACAGAGCGTGGGACTGGGATCATCGTCCCATTTCGTAAATGAAGAAGCTGAGATTCCAAGAGGGCAAAGGCTGCCCTCTGGCTGGGCTGGGGCCCAGGGTCCAACCTTGGCACGCTTTGGTACTTGCTATGTGAACCTCGGTAGCAAAGGGATACTTGTTATTTATTAGCTAAAAACAGAATTTGCTTCATACTATAGTGAGGAAGAGGGGAGCAGGCAGAAAGTGCTTCAGTCTGCACGCATGAGCAGTAATGGCACGTATATTGTTAAAGTGTCTTATTTCTTTCTCCTAATAGTGATCCCAGCAGATATAAGCTATAAATCCCTTTCATGAGACACGTAAACAGAAAGTGAGTTGACTGCGGTCTTGGGGATATGAAGCAGCTTCTTCACTCTGCCTTTCCTTGTGCCAGATCCTGTATTTCCCAAAATGTGTGGCTGAGAATGGAGGTTTAAATATTCCCAATTGTCATTTTTTAAGAAAATATTTGACTTAGAATTTGTTTTTCTTTCCTGGTCTTGGGGATTGAACCCAAGGCCTTGCTTATACCAAGACAAGAACTCTGCCACTGAGCTGCATCCCCAGCCACTCAACCCCTTCACTCAGAATTCCTTCCTTCCTTCCTTCTTTCCTTCCCTCCCTCCCTCCCTTCCTCTTTGCTTCCTT